CAGGGCCAGGGATTTAGCTCAGTGGTTACGCTGCCTGTCTTGAAAGTGCAAGGACCCGAGTTTGATCCCCAGTACCAAAAAAAAAAAAAAAAAAATTCAACAAGCACATAGCTCTGGTTTCCATGATTGTACTTATAAAAATCTGTACAATGAAAAAAAAAAAGATTGTGGCCAAGGATTTAGCTCAGTGGTTCCGCTGCCTGCCTCGCAAGCGCAAGGTCTGGAGTTCAATCCCTGATGCCAAAAAAAAAATTTCTATAATGCCCTAATTCCCATTATTTAATATATTTATATGAATACTTATCTTGTAAAGTGAAGGATCAAAGCTTTCAAAATACAAACTAGCTGGAAGGGTGGCTCACGCCTGTAATCCCAGTACATGGGAGGCTGAGGCAGGAGAATTGCTTTGAGTTCCAGGCCAGACTGGGCTATATAGTGAGTTCAAGGCCAGCCTGAACTATATAGCAAGACCCTGTCTCAAAAGGGAGGGGGGCAGGGATTTAGCCCAGTGCCACTGCACCTGCCTTGCAAGTGTAAGGTCCTGAGTTCAATCCCTGGTACTGGGGTGGGGGTTGGGCAAAACCCACAAAATAAAAGTTACACTGCACTGGTTGGTCTGACTCAAATAATGCTTCATTCATATCAGGTGCTCCATGAATATTTGTTAGATGAATAAATGATCAGAGAACTACATAAAAAGTGACTGAGAAATAATTTATTCTGTATATATCTCAGCTCTGAATAAGATTGATGGGGGCTAATAAAATCTTTTTCCATCTCAATGTTCTAAAAAGCCTTTTGAGAACAAATTTGATTTTGATTTATGCAAAAAGGTTGTTTTCTGGCTCACAAAGATGGTTTTGGGGCCTTTAAGATTCTTTTTTTGTTTTTGTTTTTGTTGTTTTGAAACAGCCTCTATGTATTCGAGGCTGGTCTTGAACTCACTATGTAGCTCAAGCTGGCATCAAACTTGAGGTGATCCTCTTGCCTCAGCGTGGGGATCTGGGATTACAGGCATACAGGGCGTGGTCATGTGATAAAGTATGTGCCTATCAGGCATAAAGCCTAGATTTGATTACTAGCAATGCAAAAGAAAAATGATTCTTTTTTGTTTTTTTGGTACTGGGGATCGAACTCTGGACCTTGTGCTTGTGAGGCAGGCAGCGAAACCACTGAGCTAAATCCCTGGGAAGAAAGATTCTTTTTTGTTTTTTTGGTACTGGGGATCAAACTCTGGTCCTTGTGCTTGTGCAGCAGGCGGCAAAACCACTGAGCTAAATCCCTGGTCAAGAAAGATTCTTAATATGTTCCCTAAAGTTGAAAATATCCAGTTATATAAAAAAACAGGGTTCTTTAATATTTTCAAAGTAGTTTTGAGGAGCTGGGGTGTAGCTTAGTGGTAGAGCCCTTATCACTAATGAAAGGTCCTGCATTCAGTCTGCAGCACTTCAAAATACAAAACGAAACAACAAAAAGTTTTGTTGAGGTATAATACTCATACCATAAAATTTGACCATTTTAGAGTGCTGTTTACAGTTTGGTCATTAAAAATAACTTTGCATTCTTGTAAATGATTCTCCCATACTGACATCTGTTCTGTCTGATGTTATGTGTTGCTACTTGGATTTTCTTTTTGTTTCTGTTTTCCTCACCGGTCTATCCCCATCCTTTTATTTTTTATTTTTTTATTTTTTTGGAGGGTACCTGGGGTTGAACTCTTGGGACCCTGCGCTTGCAAGGCACGCAGCAGCACCACTGAGCTAAATCTCTGGCCTTTCCTTTTATTCTTTTCCCTTATAGTTTAGCTATGTGTTCGAAAAAAATAGCCTGCGTGTAGATATTTTTAAAAATCCATTCTCATACTCTGGTTTAAACTGGAGAATTTAATTTTCTCTTTCCTCTCTGCTTCTTTCATTGTTTGGAAGTTATATATTTTGTCATTCTTGAATACCAAAGAAATTTGAAAATACTATGTGTATTGGACTTAGAGTCCATACTCAAAAATAGGCACAGTATAAGAACCGTGAAATTCTCTCTCAGTGAGTCTAAAAATTTTCAAATTCTGGGGCCAGGGATTTAGCTCAGTGTTTTCGTCGCCTGCTGCGTAAGCACAAGGACCGGAGTTCGATCCCCGGTACCAAAAAAAAAAAAAATTTCAAATTCTGAAAGTCTTTTACATTTGCTTTTGTTCTTGAAAGTTAGTTTTGATAGGTATAAGAATGTAGGTCAGAGATTGTGAAACTTTTTTTTCCTTTGTAAAAAGTCAGGTAATAGGCCGGGGATTTAGCTCAGTGGTTCCGGTGCCTGCCTCGCAAGCGCAAGGTTCTGAGTTTGATCCCTGGTACCAAAAAAAAAAAAATAGTCAGATAATAATATTTGGGCTTTGTGACCTATATGGTCTTTAGTAACTAGTGAATTCTGTTGTTGTAATACAAAAGGAACTGTAGGCAATACATAAACATACAAGTATGGCTGTGTTTTGTTAAAATTTTATTTGTAGATACTGAAATTTGACTTTTAAATAATTCCCATGTATAAAAAATATTTAAAAATACATTTTGCCAAGTAGGGTGGTACACACTTGTAATCCCAGCATTTAGTAGTTGAGGCTGGAGGTTTGGGAGCTCAGGGTCAGCCTGGGCTACATGGTGAGAGCCTGTCTCAAAAAACAAAACACATAGACACACACACACACACACACACACACACACACACACACGAATACACACGAACATGATGTGTTTGACCTGTAGGTCATAGTTTGCTGACTTCTGGTCCCTGTGAATATTCATTTTATGTAGTACCTGACATTTAGAGTAGTATTCTCATGCTGTCTTAATGGGATACTGAGAGAAGTCAGCTCTCAGTCTTATTGTTCTTTCTTTGAGGTAACCTGGTGGTATATTTATTCTTTTGCTGCTTTTAGGAATTTCGTGTGTGTGTGTGTGTGTGTAGGTATAGTGCTGGGCCTCATACATGCTAGGCAAGCACTGTACCCATGAGCAACCCCCTGGCCCTTAAGTATGTCTTAAGTTCCCTCTGCTGTACCTAAGTATGTGTTTATTTTCATTTCACCTGCTTCAGATTTGTTGCATAACCAGAATCTAAAAATTAGTGTCGCTTTTTATTTCTAGAAAAATTCCAGCCATTATTTTTGCTTATATTATGATATATATAAAATAGGAAGTTGGTATAAAAATCCACCTAGAGACTTTCTAGAAGGTTTAGGTTAATAGAGTGTCTCACTCCTAGAACTGACTGCTAGATGCTTTCTGTGTAGGTACCTTACATCTTCCTTTATCAAATAGAGATCACCTTTCTTGTATGGCTGCTGATAAGCACAGCATTAACTGTAATACTAGTAGTTTTTTTTGTTGTTGTTGTTACTGAGGATCGAACTCAGAATGTTGCGCTTGTGAAGCAGGCAGCTGCAATACTAATATTTTGTTTGTTTTGTTTTTTGGTACTGGGGATTGAACTTGGGACCTTGGGCTTGCACAGCAGGCGCTGGAGCCACTGAGTTAAATCTCCGGCCCTGCAGTACTAATTTTTTTTTTGTTTTGGTACCGGGAATCGAATTCGGGTCCTTGTGCTTGCAAGGCAGGCGGTGGAACCACTGAGCTAAATCCCCGGCCCTGCAATACTAATATTAAACGTTTAAGAACTCAGTGCTTTATAACATTAATGCACACATTATTCATTATAATTTTGTACAGTATAAATGCACATTATAAATATTTACTATAAATATGTATTATACATTTGTAGTTTGGGTAGCAAAGGTATACTTGGTATTTGTTTTTTAAATCATACTGAAGTATTCTTTGTACTTGTATGCATTTAATAGACTAACAGCATGACTGATAGTTACTCTTGTTATTTGAATGTATCTTTAAATTAGTAGGCTTTTGGGCCGGGGATTTAGCTCAGTGGTTCCAGTGCCTGCCTTGCAAGCGCAAGGTCTCGAGTTCGATCCCTGGTACCAAAAAACAAACTAAGCTAGTAGGCTTTCTGGGTCCTTTAACATACCACAACTGTCATTTCAGAGAACTCAGTTTCCTGCATCTGCTGAATCTCAAAAACCCAGCAAGAAAAAAGGTCTGTATGCAGTTTTGTTGTAATGTATGTATTTGCACAGACTTCTCTGTCTCCTTGATCCTTTTTGTTTCTTCTATTGTACATGGATTACAGCTTTTAAAAATGTGACTATTAGGAAAAGCAGTACTAGTCCAAATGTTATGTCATATCTAGCTTTTATTTTATGGGGTTTTTAGCTGTTAACCACCTGTGAACGTATTTAAACGGGGTTTGATTATCCTGTGTGTACTGATTTTTCTATTTGTGGAATAAACACTCTGAAGTCTCATTGCACAAATCAGTTTGGCCTCAAATGATCTCATTATTTGTTAAAATAAGCATGAGATTTTATCAAAATTGAGTCTTGAAAACCTAACTAGGTAAAGATCTCTGCTGCAAAGAGCTGTGTTTATAGCCATAGAGATTTGAGCACATGTTTTGTTTAGGGGAACAGACGTCTTTCATTCATTTGCCTATTCAGTCTTAGGGTTTCTGTCAGGTTGCTGGTGACATTAAATGTTCTTCCGTGTCTGATTGATTGGGTGTCTCTGCTGTGCATTGGGCATTAGAGAAACAGTTGAACTTTGTTTATAGCAGAAAAGACATTAGTTCATTCATCTGTGGATCTATGGCTTTTAATATTTTTAGAAGAAACCAAGGCTTGCCAAGGGTGTTGGGTGTAGTTCTGGTCTGTATTCCTGAGTTGCCTATCTTTCCACAGCATGTCTGTCTGTGAAGAGTCTTAGTTGATTTTGTCAATAAATTGTTTAGTTTACTTGGAGCATTTCTGTCACTTTTTTTTTTTTTGGTACTGGGGATGGAACTTGAGTCCTTCTGCTTGCCAGGCAGGCAGTGAAACCACTGAGCTAAATCCCCGGCTCATCTCACTTTTTTTTTTGTTTTGAGACAGGGTCTTATAGCTCAGGCTGGACTTGAACTCATGGTGATCCTCCTGCCTCAGCCTTCTGAGGGCTGGGATTACAGGAGTGTGTCGCTTTGGTATCTGTCACTTCCTTTAGCCACCAGGGTGATTTGGCTCATCAGATGGGATTAGTGTGTACTGTGATTGTCTCTTCAGTGTTCAGCCTACCCTTCCTCTAGAGTCCAGTCCTATGGTTCAATTGCCAGCAGGTCTAGGAGAGGATTGAATACCAGTCGATAATTGGTCTGTGCCCAGTTCAGGTTAATGAGATGCAGAGTTCTTCGCTTTAGTGCCAAGAAGCATTTTATGTGCATTGCTACAGGGTCCCTTTCTCTTCCTCCTCCTCCTTCTCCTCCTCTTAGGTGCTGGGAGAATTGAACGTGGGGCTTCATGCTTGCTAGGCAAGCACTCTACCACTGAACTAATTCCCAGCCCTTCTCATCAGTTTTTCCTCCCGTCTCCATCCCTGAGCAACCGCTGTCTGATTTCTCATTATCAAAGTTTAGTTTTTCCTGTTCTCAAACCCCTCATATGTTTGAGGACTTACCTGGTTCTAGGAGCAGTGATAGGTATTGGGAATGCAGAGATAAATAGGGCATGGATTCCTCCCTCAGGGAATGGAGAACATAGAGAACATAGAGAACACAGAACATAGAGAATAGAAACAGTGTAGTAGATGCTTTCCTTTAAATTTAAGTATTTCCAGTTTCTTCAATTCTCTTTTTTTTTTTAACGTGAGACAGTTAGAACTCCTTTGCCATAATTGCCTTGGTCTGGTGAAACTTGGGGTCGGTCCCTCCTGGCGGTTCAGAGTTCAGGGCTAAATAGACTCTGCCCTGCACGTCGTGAACAGGGCCACATGGGATATCAGGATGATAACATGTTGGATCTTTTCTCATGTGGACCTTTTGTTTCTCCTCTCCATCTCCAGGCTGTGTTGACTTTGGGCAGCTGTTTCACTAATTCTAGGGTTCATCCTGTTGCTCAGTGCTGGGGACCCTTCACGTGTGGCACGGCCCCTCAGATGTCAAAGGCGTAACTTGTCCATGACTTCTGCCTTCTGCAGACTATTGCTGTGGTAAAAATATACTGATTGAAATTTGGAATATTGTCCCAACTTTGTATTCCTGGAATAAATGCCAGCTGGTCATGACGCATTGCCTTTTTAAAATATTGCCAGATTCAGTCCAGTAATACTTCATTAAGTATTTTTACATCTGTGTTCATGGGAGATGGTGGTCTGTTTTTTGTTTTTTTTGGTGCTAGGAATCAAACTTAGGACTCTGTGCTTGTGAGGCAGGTGTGGCATCACTGAGCTACATCCCCAGCCCTGGTCTGTCGTTTACTTCCTCTGTGCCTGTATCTGTTTTTTTTGTTTGTTTGGGTTTTTTTGGTACCAGGGATCGAACTCTAGACCTTGCCCTTGCGCAATAGTTGCTGGAACCACTGAGCTAAATCCCCAGCCCGTGCCTGTAGCTGTTTTTGAGATGGGGGTTAATTCAGTCTTCATAGAATGAGAGGGGACCTGTTCTTCTGTCTTCCGCAGGATTTTTATGTAGAATTGGTGGTGTTTTTTTCATACATGTTTTCTAGATGTTACAATGAAGCAGTCCTGGCTTGGATTTTTTCCTTATTGGGAGGTTTTAAGATGCAAATTAAGTTTATTTTAATTCTGTCCAAATTTACTTCATTAAGTAGATGTAGAACTGTTTAGAGTATCTTCTTTCTTTCTTTTCTTTTTGGTACTGGAGTTTGAACCCAGGGTCTTTGCACTGAACTACATCCCCAGGACTTTTATTTATGTGTAATTTTTTCTTTTTTATTGATATATGTTTGCAGTACATAATTATATTTGTCTTGGGGAATTGGTACATATACATATTGTATCTTAATCAACTTTACTTCTTGCTTGCTTGCTTACTTTCCTTCTTTCTTTCTTCCTTTTCTTTTCTTTCTTTCTTTCTTTCTTTCTTTTCATACTGGGGATCAAACTCAGGACCTTGCGCTTTCGAGGCAGGCGCCAGAACCACTGAGCTAAATCCCCAGCCCTATTTATTTTTTTTTAAGTTTTTGAGACAGGGTCTTGCTAAGTTGCCCAGGGTTGGCTAGAACTTGGGTCTTCCTGCCTCAGCCTCTTGGAGTGCTGGGATTATAGGTGTGTGGCAACATCCCTGGCTCAGGCTGTTTCTTTAGAGAGAGCTTTGGTGATGTTTTTCAGATTTATTGGCATAAAATTTATAATCTTGTATTTTGCTGTAGGATCTAAAATGGTGTTCCCTCATTTATAATTTTGGTAATTTATATCCTGTTTGGTTTTTTGCTTGTTTTTTTCTTTTTGAGACAGCGTCTCACTATATAGTTCAGGCTGGCTTTGAACTCACTATGTAGCCCAGGCTGGTGTTGAACTCGAAGGAATCCTTGTGCCTCTGCCTCCCAAGTACTGAGATTACAGGCCTATACCACCACACCTGGCTATAAACTCATTTAAAAAATTTTTTTTTTTCTTGGTACTGGGGATCGAACTCTGGACCTTGTGCTTGAGAGGCTGGCAGCAGCACCACTGAGCTAAATCTCCAGCCCTTAAATGTTCTTTTTAATTAACACAAAATAACTGTATATATTTGTGATCTTCTGTACAGTGTGATATTTCAGTGTAAATAGATAGTATGTAATGATCAAAGCAGCATAGTTAGCATTTTATTTTGTTATTGTTTATGTTTGGAGCCTTTGTGCTTGTCTCTTCTAGTTCATCATTAAATGTACAATATATTATCATAAACTACAGACACCTACTATGCTACATGAAGAACATTAGAACTTATTCCTCTTTTTTTTTTTGGTACTGGGGATTGAACTCGGGACCTTGCACTTGCAAGGCAGGCAGCAGAACCACTGAGCTAAATCCCCGGGTGAACTTATTCCTCTTAATTGTATTTTGGTACTCATTTTTAGAGATCTCAGATGATTGATTTTAGATCTTTTATCTTTTCTGAGGATTTAGAACTCTATTTCGCTCTAAGCACTGCTTACCTGGCTCATACACATATCATGTGTTATTTTAGACTATTTTTTGCAATACTGCAAATATTTTTAAACTTTTACACAATTCCAACTACTTTATCATTTTCCTAAGACCTCTCCTTTGGGCCCTGTACTAAGAAAGGACTCAATAAATTTCTGTGTATCTGGGGATAGTCCAGATACCACCCTGTTGTGTATCAGTTTGTAACTCCTTTGTAGCCAGAGAATCTCTTTTCCACAGTGTGGCCCATGTTGATGAATGTTCTTTATGTGTTTGAAAATAACGCATGTTCTTTTCTTTTCAGAAGGGAGCGTTTATGTCAGTTGCATTAGGTTGGCTGGCAGAGTTGTTCTGTGTACTGATGCTCTTCCTGACACAGATATTGAGCACCTTAATTGCGGAAGAATGTTGAAGTACAGTACATATCAGAGGCAGTTTGGGATTTGTCTTTTTTTTACTTTCAGTTCTATCTGTTTTTGCTTGTGTACATTAAAGAACTGTGCTTGCATATACATTAGGATTGTAAAACTTCTTGGTGCATTGACCCTTTTGCCATTATTTAATAGGTCTCTCTAATGCCTGATAGTCTTATTTGAAGTCTAGTTTAATTGAACGATTCCCCTTTTTTTTGGTGTTTTGAGACAGTCTCACTATGTAGTTCAGTCTGGCCTTGAACTCACTGTGTAGCCCAGGCTAGCCTCAAATTCGCAGCAATCCTCCTGCCTCAGCTTCCTGAGTGTTGGGATTATAGGTGTGCACCACCATGCCTAGCAAAATTCACTAAAAAAATTTTTTGTGTGTGTGTGCTGAGAATCAATCCCAGGCTCTCATATATGCTAAGCAGGTGCTACATCCCCAGCCCAGATTCACCTTTTGTAAATACAAAGTTCTGGGTGCTTTGATAATGAAATTGTCATGTAACCACCATTACAATAATGAAGATATAAAAGTTTGATTGCCCCTCCTCAGAGTTTGGTTGACTCTGTAGTAAATCATTTCTTTCATTTCCATTTGCAGGCAGCCACTGATCTATTTTTTTCTTCGTATGGTTTTGCCTTTTCCCAGATGTCATACAAA